TGTAGCCAGGGCGGCGGGGCGGGCGGAGGGGCTGGGGACGAAGCCTTGGGGCAGAGCCGAGACCTGCCAGGGTGAGGGGAAGGGCGGGTGGGGGGCGAGAGGATTCGGTGCGAGGGGACTGGGAGTGAGGGATCTGGGGTGAGGGGACTTGGCGTGAAGGGATCTGAGGTGAGGAGACTTGGGGGGAAGGGATTTGGGATGAGGAGACTTGAGGGTGAAGCCTCTGGGGGTTCACTTCTGAGGGGGGCTGAAGGCCTGCCTTCAGGCCGGGGAGAGGCTCCTGGCCGGGGGTTAGAGGCAAGGCCTCGCCTCCCTCCCTGCCTCACGGAGAGGCACTTTCCAGCAAAAGCCTCCTCGCCGGTGTCAGGCTTTTCTCTCCCGGCTGCCTCCCATCAGCGATCGAATACAGGCATCCGTCCAAGGGGTGAAAGGCCTCCCGGAGGGTAAACTTGTGTGTGTGCACAAGCACTGCTAACCCTGAAAAATTAGGAATTATATTTGTCATTTCCATATCTTAACAAGTTGCCCATGTGCTAAAGTGCAACTCACCATGTAGAGAGGTTGGTGCTGGTCTCTTCTCACAGGTAATTAGTGACAGAACGAGAGGGAATGGCTTCAAGCTCCAACAGGGGAGGTTTAGATTGAACATTAGGAAAGAATTTTTCACCGAAAGAGTGATAGGGCATTGGAACAGGCTGCCCAGGGAGGTGGTGGAGTCACCATCCCTGGCTGTGTTTAAGGGCCATTTAGATGCAGTGCTAAGGGACATGGTGTAGGGGAGGACTTTGTAGAGAGGGGAGATGGTTGGACTCGATGATCCCAAGGGTCTCTTCCAACCTAGACGATTCTGTGATTCTATGTTCCTTTAAACAGCTTGGTCCCACTGTGTGCACTGGAACAGACATTTCTTCACAAAACACTGCCTCCCAAACACTCTACCTTGTAAGTATCTGGTGGTGAAAATGACTTAGGGACATTTAAATGCAATCAAATGAACAGAAACTGTCTTTCTACTCAAATAAATGTTCCGGTTCTTTTCACTGTGTTCTTCTCTGTCACACTCTTTCTTCCTGATAGCTTACATGTCAAGGTGGAATAGAGTTGAATAAAGAGAACATACAAAATTTCTTTCACCTCTCAGATTTAACAGTTAAAATTTTGCTGCTTTGTCTTAGCTTCATTTCCATAAGCTGTTTACACACGATTAGCTTTGTCACCACTAATAGTTTAAGGTAGATTTCATAGCAATAAGTCATGCAGTTGCTGTGTAAGGGCCTTGATAATATCTGATTACAGGAAAATCAGTGTAACTGATGAGAGTAAAGAATTGTTTTAACTATAGAAGATCAAATTCTGAGCCCAAGCCAGTGATACTACCCACAATTCCAGCTTTTAAGAAATATAATCATGATCATAGAGTGAACAACCTTTTTATGTTTACTCTCCTGTTTTCCAAATACAGGGCTGGTGTATACCATCAGTGCAAAACGTGGAATGAATTCTTCAGATACGAAGTACATTTCAGTTTCTTCTCCACGCACTTGCAACATGAGTAAGAAACATTTTCCCCAAAGACTACCCATGCAACCTGGTTTTCATCCTGCAAACTGGAAAAGGCCACCTGTAAACAAAGGGGGCTTTGCCTCAAGTCCACATGACTCCCAAGAGTCTGATTCTGAAAGCCTCGTTCAGGAGAGGCAGTACCAGGTAGAACTGCAGCAGCGGATTCATGAAAATGAAGGGCTGGTAGGACTGTATTCTGATGAGTTGGAGAATGACAGCTTAGAAGAAGACAGTTTGGAGGAGGGGAGTTTAAAAGAACAAGAAGGAACTGAGTACGACACAAATCGATACACAAAAGGAATACAGAAGGATGAAGGTAATGGAAGGTAAGGCACAGGATTTTAGTAGATGAGTAGAATAGTTCTGACACTTTAAAACCTTATACTCCTCAGAATATACATTACATACTCAAGACCAATTTAAATTGCCCAAGTGGTATGAGGAGCACCTACAGATTTAGTTACACACAGAGATGGACTGTTTCACCTTACCCACCGTCATAATTATTATACCCATTTCTCCAGCGTAGCCTCAACTGTTTATTATGTTGGCTGAAACACCAGTGCAGGAGGGGTAAGATGGAAAAGAAAGCATCCCTCACAGATCTCTATCGGCTCCCTGCACACTGGCTCTCTCTATCTGTCAGCCTTCAGAAGGTGAAGATAGGAGCTAGATAGTTCCAAGATAGGAGCTAGAAAGTTTTTTGGAGCTGGGCTGTGGAAAAGGACCAGAAAGAAAACAAAGACCAGGACCAACACATCCTTTTTTCCTTCCTTATTGAAAGACCTGTGCTGAGCAAACCACGCCACTTAATGCAGGAAAACTTCCAGGCACAAATTGCTGGGTTGAATCAATGCAGTTTTGTCCTTATAGCTGCATAAATCTAAAATTAAAATTTCCAGGGTTACCGTCATCTTTCAACGTTCTTTAGAAAGCGTTAACTTGGTACATAAAATGAAATTTAATTTGCTGTCATATGCATAAAAGGTTTAACACTGTATAAATTGGGAATAATTCTCAAGTTTAAAGGGATTAAATTAAACCTGAAGTAATAATAATGTGCAGTTTCAATTTAATTGTCTACTTAAAATAAAATGGCAAACAAATGAAGGCTAAATGATTAATAGCATGCTTTTATTCACCTCCTCAACAGGCAAAATGGCCAGTTATTGAATATTTTATTGTGAGTGCAAATGATGTTAATTGTACTAGAAACATGCTCTAATTTTTAGTAATTTTTTTGACTGAATACTATGCTGAATGTGAGGCTCTTCATTAAATGGAAATTTGATTTTATTTTGTTTGAACTTAGCCTAGTAAGTACTCAAATACAGTCCATTAACCGGAGCAAATATCACAGCATATACATATGAAACCCCCTCTCTACATCCATTACTAACCTCGGAATTTGAAGAGGAAACGCTGCATCTGTTGTCTACGTACAACACTTTTGTTGATGAGCACAGAGTCCATCTAACCTTTATATCAAGTTGGGGGGGAGGAATAAAAGGTGCACTTTTTGTCTGTAGATGATTAGAGATGAAGGAGCTCTTCACACTCATTTTGTTCCCGTGCAGTGACCTGGCCCTGCAAAATACAATTGAGCTGCTGTGCACACATTTCAGCACAATAGAACTCTTTGGCATTATACTCTGTTATTTGAATCATTGCAATTATATCACATATTTCTGTACTCGTTTCAAAATATGATCACCTATTTCTGTTTACCTGTGGTGTATGACGACTAGGAATAATAATGTTTTCACTGATGTAAATCATCTAATCTCTAGTACACAGGACACCACGGGGCCAATACTTACCTGAAATGAAAAGCATTGTGAGAGAAACAGGTTATTTTATAGTTAGGAGCCACTTCAAATATAGACGTAAGCATGTAACTAATTTAGAAAGGATGAATAAATGATTTCTGGAAATGTTAAAATAATTAACTATGCCACATTTTGGAGAATCCAGCAGATCAGTACATTTCTTTTAATTGGGGCTGCAGAGTCAACCAGGTTTCAGTGCCTATAAATGTCACTTTGAAAGGCTCACCGTTTGTCAGTGTCCAAGAAACCAGGACTATACTGCAGGTCCATCTAAGAAAAAACAATGTTAAAAGCTTTTTTCTCCCATGCTCCTTACTCCTGCCACTGCCCGCATGGCTCCTGGAAGCCAATTTGTATGTATTTGGCTCCTGCAGTTGGTTTTCCTCCTGTTGGATCAGGCTGTAAATCATAAACAGAAACAATTGTGGTATTGTTAAGGCAGACATTGTTTGTTTGCATTATGACAAATGTAGTTCAGAGCAACACTTTGGACACTTGTTTAAAAAAAAAAAAGCTGAAACCATAAACATTTCTATTTTTCCTACACTTATCTCAATTACAGCCTGATTTTTTATTAAGAGTCTTTAACAGAGAGTTAAATGAGAAGAGAGAATAAAAATACAGAGCTGTAGGCTGGTCTTGCTTTGACAGGCAGTTCTACTGACATCTGAGAGAGGGATTTTACCAGGAATATCACTTTTCTTTCACACAGCAGAGTCTCTGAAGAGCGAGCTCTCACAAGAACGAGCAATAACTGTCTTTTGTAGGCTACATCACTCTAAAGGAAACAACAAAAGCAGCATGTTATAATATTTTCCTCTTTTAGTTGATTCTACTAGTACTTACGATTTCTATGCTAAATTTAGGATAAAGATTGTATTCTACTGTGATCTGAACGTTAGGCCGATTTATCATTCACTGGTAATGAAAATTAAAAATGAAGAGGAGGCCTTGCCTTAATTTTCTACTAAAAAATATTTGATAAAACTCAAATTGCACACTGCAAAAATACAGAATTTACACAAATTATAAATAAATAATGTTGTGTTTCTTTTTTAAGTAGGAAACAACAGCCTGTGGACAAATATTTCAACCTAAGATACAATCCTAATTGGAAAAACTTAAAAGAGGGAGCAGAATTTTCTAAGGGAGAAAAAGCATGCCAAGTTGCTAGAGGAAGCAGTGTGGACTTCTCAGAAGATTCATTTTACCTCCATTCCAACGGCTCCCTGGAAGAAAAGAATCCACAGGAGGCAAAGTCACAAGATTCATTCTCAGAGTTTGGTACAGAATTACTAAGTTTTCAGGAGCCAAATGCTGTGGTCAGCAATGAACCTTTTAGGCTCAACACCAAAGGAGAGGAATCTGCGGGTGGCTGTCATTTCAAAGATACTTCTGGTACACATGGCAGTGCTTTCTCCCTTCAGATTCAAAAAGATCGACCACAAAGAGCAAAAAAAGACTTTGTGGAAAAAAATAAACGGACCTTAGGATTACATTCAGAGAAGAAAAACTCCTATCTTCAATTACACAGTAAAAAACAAGAAATTCTTCAAAAGCAGGTAGGTAATTTACGCAGGTTTTCTAATGGTATAAACTGACGACTGTCTAGCGTTAAAATGGAATAGCTGGATGAGGTTTGCAGAGGAGCTAAGTAGATTTACAGTCCATCATGCAACTGATAAATTATTATTTCTTATAATAGGTGAATCTTGTTCACCCTTTATGGAATTATTGTCCAGTCCTCAGATACTCACAACCCCAGGGATGGCCTTGTTCCAGGCCTAGTTAAGCTACATGTATTCTTGGCCATGAAGCGTGTCTGCACGGTCACAGAGGTGGTATCTCACTAGTTTTTAGTCTTGATAGTAAAAAAGTGCTAATTTCTTTCCTATGGGATCTACATTGCACCTTAATTAGTGGTTCTTTTTTCACTGCCTCTGAGTTTTCTCTGCTTGGCCAACGTGAGTTTTGCTGAATGCAGCAATGCTTCTAATAGCAAGAACGCTAACAATTTTTTGACTGAAGTAGGAAAATTCCATGTCACCTTCCGCTTAAAATGCTGTTTTTCCACCTGCATTGATCATAAAAAAAAAAAAAAAAAGTGTATGTGAAGTTACAATTGAGTTTGAGAACCGGAAAGCACATTGTGGTCACACTGCTTTCAAAAGCCACACACGCTTTTGCTCACCACTGTCATTTAGGGCCACACATGTAGGAATATCCAAGAAACGTGGCAGATCTGGGGGAGTCAGACAACCCTTTCCCCCTGTTTGCTTTCTCTGCCAGACCAAACCTTGTATTTGAAATCAGGCAGCAGATACTAGTCAAGTACAGTGCTTGGATTTGAAGGGCCTAGCGTTCTTTTGATTGACTGCAAAATGTCAGCCAACTTGTATTAAGGATTAAGTGGAAATGTAATTACAGTTCCTAATGAACCATTATACATGAGTTTGTTGCTTTTACTTGCTACTTATTATGTGGGAAGTGGGAGTCATTGATCACGCCACGAGTTGTAGCACGGAAAATTCTTAACTTGCAAAACTACAGAGACTTTCTGCTTCAAGTGACACATTTTCCAAGGCTAATGAACAGTTGACACAACACTAGAGGGCATCTGCTGACTACATTACAATGAGTGTTAACGGTGGACAAGCTTTTTTCTAGCAGAGCTATTAAGAGCACTTGTTTTTTTCAGTTATAATTTGGTTGATGGTAAAAATAATTAGCGTAGATTGATGCTAATTAAAGCTGTGTTGATATGATTATGTTTACTATTTGGGGAATTCTGAAAATGTTTCGTATGTAAGTATCGGAGCCAGGGATCAGGACTTCATTGTGTAGACACTATTCAAAGACACGGAATAGAAAAAAAACCTGTTAAAACCAGGGTGATGTTGTGAGATTACCTTGCTGAAGTAGCTGTGGGGACAGCAGAGCTGTGACATAGCAGGAGCTGGACAGCATGTGTGTAGAAAGGTGTGGGTTTTTCCTTGACAAATTGATACAGCCACAAGAGCATCACCACCTGCTGACAGCCAGCTTTGTGTTTGCTGTGGGTTGGCATAGGAAGAAGCACTTACCTCTCTTGTTCTTACTCGAGACATCCGTTGCTTCATCTTGTTGGAAGGGGCAAAAGAAGGCCTGATAGAAACATCTTGTTGCCCAGATCACACACAGAATCACACAGAATCTTCTAGGTTGGAAGGGACCTTAAAGATCATCTTGTCCAACTGTCAACTTAATGTTTACAAAAATAAACACCCACTCAGCAAACAAAAAGAAAAACAAAAAGCAACACCATCACTAAACCATATCTCCCAGCACTACATCAACCCGTCTTTTGAACACCTCCAGGGATGGGGCCTCAACCACCTCCCTGGGCAGCCCAGTCCCATGGATGAAAACACTTACGGTGAAAAAATTTCTCCTAATATCCAGCCTGAACCTCCCCTGGTGCAACTTGAGGACATTTCCTCTAGTCCTGTCGCCTGTGATTTCTGGCCAGCTTTGGTCACCTCACCTGGAAAACTGTAGGGAAAGTACAAAAACACAAAGTATGCAAAGAAAAAAGCCATATGTCTTCTGCTGGAGGGATCAAACATGTTCTGAATACTGTAACTGGATTAATTTGAGCTTTGCAGGATGTTGAAGCTGGTTTTATTGATACAGTCACTGTTGGCTGTCAAGTACTGTGGTAGTGAAATAGTACTTTGCTTATGGCTTTTTTCAACTGACATAACAGTAGGTAAAATATTTGCAGCCTCATTTTTGCAAGATTTACAGCTGTTATCTCTGTGCATACAGCCAGCAGGCTGTATGTACCAAAACATACCATAAATGTGTTGATCTGTATATTTACTAATTTATATAGCATTTTATAAAGCATCAAGTTCTTTGCAGTGTTGCCTGATTCTTTAAGAACCTGATGATGAGTTTCTTTGAGAGCGAGCGAGAGAAAGAGAGAGAAGTAGTGGCCCAATCTAGCTCAGCTGTACTCAATATGAGTTGCTTTCCTACCTACAAGCCCCTTACTTCAAAGCAAGGAACATAATGTACAATTTTTTAATGGCTCTAGACCAAGGCACTCAGACTCTCTGTGCACTGCGCCTTGCCTCAGTGTAAACACCTAATCAAGATTGCCTGCGCTTCAACAATAGCAGCCAAATGCAATTCGAGAACCACAAGCCTTTGAAGTCCTCACTGCAAAGGCCGGTTTTCTAGTCTGGGATAATGACATGCCATGATTGCTGTCTTTGTTGTATCTTTTCAGTAGAGAAGCAATTATGGGCCTCAATTTAACAGAATAGGCATTACACAGCTTATGATGCTCAAAATGCAATTTCATTTGATCATTTTCTCAATTTGATTGGTATTAATAGAATAGTTCACAAAAAATGCTGGCAGAGGTTGTGTCCTGTTCCTCTTTCAAAGAGATAATGTAGAAGTATGCTTTACCTGCCCAGTAAAATACAGTGAGTCAGTTGGTTCCACCAAAAACATCTCACCGGCTGCAAAGCTGTATCTATCCACAGTTGGGGAAACCTGTGTGGTAACTTTTAATTTGTGAACTTTTCTAGTCACAACTAATAGGAGAGCCACCAAGCTGGTGAGGGGCCTGGAGAACAAGTCCTATGAGGAGAGGCTGAGGGAACTGGGCATGTTTAGTTTGGAGAAGAGGAGGCTGAGGGGAGACCTCATTGCCCTCTACAACTACCTGAAAGGAGACTGTAGAGAGGCAGGTGTTGGCCTCTTCTCCCAAAGGACGAACTACAAGACCAGAGGAAATGGTCTGAAGTTGAGGCAGGGGAGATTCAGATTAGATATTAGAAAGAACTACTTTACTGAGAGAGTGGTCAGGCACTGGAACAGCCTGCCCAGGGAGGTGGTGGAGTCACCATCCCTGGAGGTATTTAAGAAACGTATAGACATGGCTCTTCAGGGCATGCTCTAGTGCCCAAGGTTATTGGTTTATGGTGAGGTGTTGAGTGTGGGGTTTAGTTGGTGGGTGTGGTGTTTTTGGTGGGCATTTGGTGTGTTGTGTTTTGTATTTGTTTGGTTGTGGGTTTTTTTTTTTGGTTTTTTTTGTGGTTTTTTTGTTTGTTTGTTTGGGGTTTTTTGGGTTTTTTTGGTGTTTTTTTTTTTGTGGTTGGACTCGATGATCTCAGAGGTCCCTTCCAACCACTAAGATTCTGTGATTCTGTGAACTAATAGAATCTGCGTCGCCTTTTGGAGCAATGACATCATCTGAAAACTCAGCAATAGACCCTACTTACCTTCTCCTAGTTGTTCTAATCTCTCACCCCCAAAGATGAGAGGCTCCACTCCCTAGAAGGATTTAATGCTTCCTTCACACCGATTTCACCATTATGATTATCAGTGAATAATTCTCTTGGTCACAAGTATCTTCTCAGTGCAAGTTCTCCTGTGTTAGCCAGGGTATGTAGGGACTTCTACCACAAGCATGAGCCCGACACATAGTTAGCTGTAATCTCTTTATGGTGACACTGCCTAACTGTACACTTAATTGAGGTCACACCTGCTATAGTACTTAGCAGGATAAATTGGGACAATACAAGTATAAGCAAAAAACTAAAAAAAACCATTGTTTTTAATGAACTTTCAAAAAAGTTTGATGCTTTCAAGAAAAAGGTTCGTTATTGCCATTTTTACTAGAGTGTCTCTTGGCTTCGAAATCTCTAGTACCAGCAGCCACCCTCAAAAAAATTGCTCAACTGTGATTTCCAGCCATTGTGCTACCACTTGACTGTGGCTATAGGAAGATGTTGTGCTTGTTTGTGGGCTTGCTATTTGGCACAAGTTGTTTGGTATTGTTGCTGGGCTATGTGGATTAGATGTTTTATTTCTGCAGCAACTTTTCTAGCAATTCTACCGTGTTTTGCCATCTTGTTCCACATGACTCTGTCGTTCAAGACTTTGCTATGATGTGGGTCATCCATCAATATCTTGGTACACTGCCTGATTGCTTGGACAATGATGATTGTCTAGTTGGTTTTCTGTTATTAGGTACATCCACTGGCTCTCTTATAAATGGAGAAGCCCAGGCATTTGAGAGTTATAAGTAGGTTTCTGTGCTGCATATGTCCTGCAATTTTCTTTTCCTCTCTTCTTCCTAAAAGTAAAAAGAATACTCCCTATTACAAAAGCACTGTTAATTGGGGGTTTGTTTCCTTTTTCATTTTCTATTTTAGCCATTCATTTTTCTTGTTATCTATCATATACTGCCTAACCTTAGCATTTCAGCTTTACTAGGAGGCAATTTTTTTCTCATTCTTTCCCCAAGACTTTTAAATCCTTTCATCTGGTTGAGCTGAGGCCATAAACATTCTTGTTTTTTAGGTTGCAGATCCTAAAACTGTTGATGAGGAACCAGTTCAGAGTGTCCTACCACTCCAGACTGTGAAAATGGAGCCTGAAGACAAATGGCACCTGAAATCACAGCACCTCAAGGTTGCTTTTCAATAGAACATGATAATTGAAATATATATGTAAAAGCATTGAAGTTTGAATATTTAAAGCTGTAATCTCATTACTTTTAAAGTACCAATTACTGACAATAAGTCCCTAGATATATATCAGTAGATAATCACCAAAATGTAATGCATATGCTGCTTTATATACTGAATCAATTCAAGTCAAAATAGATCCCAAATTCCAAGAAATTCTGAGCTCAAAGAATCTTACCTATTTAGGACATTATTCAGTTGGTACTAATGTAAAAATGCAAACTAGTACATGATTGTGTTTGATGGTTCATGAGGATTCTGAGCTAGAACTTAACCACTTTTGCATTACTTGTGCTCTAAAACCCCCGTGAACATCAAGGGGTTACCATAAAATAGAAAATGCTACAAGTAGAAAAACCAGCAGTGACCTCCGTGCACGTAAGTCTCTAGATCTGGTTTGTGCTGGCTTTTCAAACCAAAGCAGAGTCTTTGGAGCAATAAAAGAGACCAGGTTATCATCACTGATGAAAAACCAAAAACTTGAGAACCAGAACTTCAGGCCAGCTGGAATTATGATTGGCAAATCTAGTTACTATTTTTGTATTACAAGTATTTGAAGTAACTCAGGCAGACTGTTTAAATTCCCCCCTGTTCACTTCAGACTGGGAGCTGCACTTCTGTAAAGGACAAACAAGATTTTACGCTGCTGTTTATCGTGAGAGATGTGCTTTATATACGGAATTTCAGAATGAAGGAGGTATTTTACAGGGCTGCTCGTTCTCTTTAAATGGGGAAACGTTGGCCTGGTCCCAGTTTGGCAGCAGTTCCTGCTTTCCACCAGTGGCACAGTATGCCAGAACATTAATTGTTACAGCAGAGGTCGAGCTAACAAATCATCATCTTGGCACCAGGAGTCGGGATTCCCCAGCGCTAAAGCTTTTGCCAAAACATTCTGCTCTATATGTGGATTTAATACCTACCATTAAGTAGTTATTCTGAGTGCATATGCTATGTAGTGATTGCAAGTGTGGCTAACAAAAGAACCCTAGAGAGACAGGAGGATGAAATGGAGGATTTTAGCGCTGACAAAGATTAAATGGACTGAGAATGGATTTGTGTATTCCCTGGAAGGAAAGCCGTGTCTTTCCTCAAAATGGGCAACACCTGATGCTGCAATTGGAGAGTGATAAATCTTAAATAAGCTCCAGATTTAGAGTATGTTAGTGTAGCTCAAGACACCAGTCCTGGTATGCTTAAATTCTTAAATTGTTTCTTATCATTTGGATAACGTTTCGCAGGATACAGGGCAGGGAGGAGTGCTTGGTTTAGAAATGAAATCATTTAAATCATTGACATCCGTCTGTTTCTGCTGTGGACCAGTCTAATAGTGTGTATGTACATAGCCATCTTTTCATGAAATTTAGTACAGTTTACTTTCATTAGAGGATAAAAACCAAGAACTGATTTGATTTTTGAAACATCCTCCCCAGATGGTTGACAATGAGCTACCACTTGTCTGCAGGATTAGAAACAAGACATACTGTGCATTTAAGGGCACCTATTTTTGCACCTCATTCAGATAAAATTCCATATTTTGGATAATAATGCCACAGCATTATTTCTTAGATATAATCTGCATTTGTAAAGCACCATTTTTATAGTGTTCTGCTTCAGAAGTTGTCTCTGGCCATTAAGCAAAGCTTTGATGCAATATTGTGCATTGTCTGTGCAGCACCTGAATAGGGTCTGCGCTTCTGTTCTTGACTGGGGGTTCCTACAGATTTTAATTTTGGATTAAGTCTAGCCAGGCCATCACCTGGTCTAGCCACGAGCATAATTTACAGAGTAGGGGTTAGATATAAGCAGCACGGAGTGATTTTGATGGGTCTAATCAAACTTGTGCAAACTGTCCTCACTCAGTATCAGTATGTTAAAGAACTGTTATCATAGTCATGAAGGACCAGTATCATACCTACATCTCTTTAAAGGCCCTTCTATCAGGACATATTTTATTAATTAAAAAACCCCAAACCTGAAGCCTTACAAATGTCACAAAGATTGCTCTCCATACCATACTAGACTTCGGGACACAGATGCTTTTCCTTTCACACATCACTCTCTGCTAAGAACTCACTTTTTAAACTAATTTCCATTGCAATACTCATTCAGCTGTCTCAAACATTGCTATAACCCTTTTCTGGTTGTGAGTGTACATTCAACAGGGGTGTCTGGCTCCGTACTTCCCTGATGTTTAAAGAGATAAATGATTATGGGCTCCAACCTGTTCAGCTCCTCTTCAAGGCACCACATGTTCAAAGTTCAGTACACGTTCAGAACTCAGATTCACTGTAACTTGCAGAGCTATTTCAGGGCTAAAAATAAGAATGTTGTCCTGAATTGGAATCAGAGAACATCATGTAATCTAGTCAAAACGTCAGTTAATCAGTTAATTTGTAGGATTCTAAGAAATAGCTACATGAAAGGCATTGTGACAGGCACACTTGTATCTTAATGAGCATATAAAATAGCAACCGCTGAAATTCACCCCACTTTTGCTAACTTGTTTTAGGATCACCAAAATAAGTCTTCCCAGAGACATAAAATGAAATCCAACCAGAATATCAAAGGGAGAGCTTTTATGAAGACTAATATCCGACAACCACCAGGGAGACCAGCAGAAGCAATGTCTTGGCACCACAGGCACCACCAACTACCAACATTTCAGCCGGCTCCCGTGCAGGCAGTGGAGCAAGACAACAGCAGTGCACAGCAGAAACCTCCTTCTGTTGACCCCGACACTAATACAGCAGCAAATTCAGATACTTGCTTAAATAATTTCCCAAATTCAAGACATTTTATTAATCAGGATTTTACCACATCTACGTATCCTGTTCGTCCAATGTTACATAAATTTAACCCAGCAGAGGATATATCTCCGGCGTATACCAGCAAGGAGAACAAGAAATACCAGCATGATTCTCCAAATGGACTTCCACATCACCAGCAACATTTGTACAACCGTGCCACTGGGCAGCCTTTTGCAAGAGATGACACTACCAATGGTCAAGCACATCCAAATCAGAGGACTGTTTCATCTCCTTTTAATGCCAATTTTCAAGAATTGGGGAAGAATCAAGTATCACTTCAGGATTGTAAAAGACACATTCATACAGATAAAAGGTATCAGCACTATGCTATCAGCAGTTTGTGATACGGATATAAGTGTTGAAACAGGATTATATAACACTGTGATGCCTGGAAAAAAATAGAAATGAACAAGAAAATGTTTTAAAGTTTAAAGCATAAAATTCTTTTGCTACAAACCCACCACTATCGATTACTACTAACTTAAGATTCATTATAACTATTGATTTTTAAATATGGTATCGGAAAAGGACAGTTCCGTACTCCAGGCTGTCTCACACATTGAATTTTCCACAATTGAAAGTTTCCTTCTGAAAGGCTAAAAGGTGAAGTTTAAAAAATAGATAGCATAAGACTATTGCCTAAGACTGCTACTAGCTCCAGAGAGTTAGATCAAAACTTGCCTTGCAGGGTGAATATCCAAAGTCAAACCAGTACCAATTCTGGCTCGCTACACATGGGGAAGGGCATGAAAATCCTTAGTTATATAGAATTTCACCTGCCTCAATAAAAAGGAAGGTTTTATTTCACATAGGCGATTAATTCTTTCACTTTGTGAAAAAAAGGTCAGCAGGCCTGATACAAACCCCATTTTCATTTGGTTTAAGGAGGCTTTAAAGGCATGTTTCTTTTGTCTTAAGCTAGCCTTCCATCAGGCTGAAAGTTTCCCCATCTATGTTTTTTCTATTTATTTAAACAGCTTCACTACACTTGGGTGCGAGCAAAGTCAGTCATTGTGAAATGCCCATCTTTCCATCTTTGTGTTCCCACTATATTCTGGGAGCAGGGACAGAGTGCTTGTTGAGCTATGTGCTATATATAAATAAAGATTCTTTTCTTTTTCCCCCCTCTTTCTTTTTTGAGGCCTTCTCAATCTCCTGTTCACAGTTCACCAGCGGCCCCTTGTACAACCTCCCAGTGTACACAAGCAACGGAGCGACATCACCAGGAAATGACTCATTTGACAGAAGCTCACTTAGCTAACAGGCACTTGGTCAGCCTGCTTCCACCTATAATCCCACAGGTCGAAAGTGGTTCAGAGGTAGATCCAGAGAGTGGTGAAAGAAATCGAGTGAAAATACGCCGAAACAACTCTGAAGGATATCTCATGCAAATGGAAAAGCAAAACCAGCCTAAAGTCAGCAAGAAGGTAAGCAAATCAATGTGAATTGGGTGGTTGTACATTTCTGTTTCTCCCTCTGATTATTTTTTTTTTCTTAACAATCCAAAAATCTTCATACACACACAAAAAATTAAAAAGGAACGAGGACTGAGGAATATTTCATTGTTACAGAAAGCGCGCTGACACACACTGACTTGCCCAGAACATTAAAAACCAAGGAACAAAGGTGGAAACAGACCCTACAATAATTTTGGTCCTAAGAGCAAGTCAGATCACCACCTCCTCTCTCTGTGTCACTTTCAGTCTTGATTAGCTCTAAAAACACACAGAGCAGTGTTTGTCTTTTAAGTTACCCAGTGATAAAATGATTTAGAATAAAGCTATTTGTATAAAGCAGCAGGTAGCCAGACCTCAGATCTGAGCAAACCATTATCCTGGTCATGCTCATTTGCTATCCCACTCAAATCTCTCGGTTTCCAAGGCAATCAAACTGAACACCAACAAACTTAGAGGATTTGTAAAGCTAACGGCATAAACATTATTACAAGTCTCCTGATGATCCCGTTTTGGTCCTTATTAAAACTTGGTTCTTTTTGTCTTTTCTGTGTGTCCAGTTTCATACTGTTAGTGGTTAACACAGATGCGGTGGAACAGCACAGAGATATCCCTGTGTGTCCCTGACAAATTAAATGTTTAAGAAGTTAGCTCCAAGTCTCAGGGCAGACAAACTAAGCTGGAATAATTACCCATGTGTTTCATCTAGGAGGCAGTTTGTGTATTGCTGCTTGAATGCCTCTAAGAAGAATTAGCTGGATTATGATAGTAACTGAAGGGCAGATTTCCTTTTCTGCTCCTCTGAGTTCAAACCGTTGTTTCTGTCCTGTATTTCCAGTAGCTTTCTCACCCTTCATATGTGAGGAATGCCACAAAGAATAAGACTGTTTATGTCTCACAGAAAAATCCAGTTTTTCCTAATAAATAAATGCAGTCATACTCATTGCATGAAGTGAGAAGACCCTGATTTTGTTGTAGACAGACATGATTAACTCTTCAGCGTACCTTAAATTAAAAGTTAGGTGCAAGTATTTCAGAAAAGAATAGGGATAACTGACACAAAGACATATCAAATAGAAAACTGAGTGCATAGAATTAGTTTCTTGGCAGTTGAGTTTAACTGCAACATGTCCTGTGAAGAAATGCACATTTTATTTACATATAGAAATTTCTTTGTGTTTCTGCATTACTCTCTGAGACTGACATTATTACAGAGCTGCTCAGAATGAGTTTCCACTGACAAGTTTTTAAAACGTAGTCCACTTGTAAAAATTAATCTAGTGTTCTTGAAAGAGTTTTAAAAGATTCTGGAAGTATTAGGGTCTTTGTAGTAATATCATGTACTACTGAAATGGCATCACCCATCACTCATCTTCTGTCTTCCCTACGCACTTGTAAAGCTTTTCCTGTGCTGCAAGGCATGTCTTTTTCAACTCTCTGTGAACAGCTGTCCACTGCAGTTTTGAGAACAAAGAAGGGTTACAATTACTAATAACATTTGCCTAATTTTTTACCACCAAAATCCAGTACTTTTATCTGCTTCTCTTGTAACAGGTTCTTTGGAGTTTCATTCTAATAACAGTCAAATGGGTCACTTTAAGCTGTTTAAAAATAAAGCACACAAAAGATCATTTTTGACTGAGAAAGTAATGCTTTGTGATTTGGATGATTGGCAATTAGCTGCCCAGATTCAAAGGAAATACAGTGTAATTTGACTTGTGCAATTAACTCAATCTTTTTTGGTCACTTACAGTCCTTGAAATGAGACGTGCCAGAGGTAAGACAAAGACCTCAAGTTGAATCCTGCTCTTATCTTGGTGTCCACTACAAGACTGCTTTAGTTATGCTCTCTGTGAAGTTGTATAAAGGAAAATCTGTCACTGCTCTTTCTCTTTCAGCCATGTAGCTCAAAAGCCTACATAAATCTGAACGTGAAGCTTGGAGGCCTTGGACCTGACTATGAAACAATCAAAGAGAAAGTAAGTAGTCCCTACTACATGATCTGCTTTTCAGTTGTGCAAAGTGAACTTAGGCAGGGCAGAATGTCAAAGAAATCACTGCTGAGAAGCAATTCATGTTTGGCTGATACTTTATGTCCTTGACTCTGGGTCTAGCTTGAGAACCTAAGGGGAGATTCAAATAGAAGGAAAGGCAACTGTATTGTGGGTGGTTTTAACCCTCTAATTTTGTAGTTGCAGAAACAAGTAGTTCACAGACTTCAAGAGGGCTAATTGCACATCAGTAGATTATACACTTATGTGACTGAGTTTGCCTAACCTTCAAAGTGGTTCTTAAAAGAAGAAGTTGTGTAAACACAAGAAGTAAATAGCTGGATGCGCATTACCGTGCTGAAATGAAGATGAATTGTTCAGAACAATTCATTGACCTGTTCTCTGCTGAAAATGAGGGTCTGGTAGCAGCTGTATATCTGAGGTGCTACAGACTCCATCCTGCATGCTCTGAGACCCTGTTAATCTGACAACGGGTGCTTTATATGGCATTCTTTATAGAAACATGGTAGGACAGTAGGGAGCAAAAATGACAAAGTGGTCATCCCTTTGGAGTCATTGAGAAACCCCAGTATTCTCTTCCTCCTTGCCATAAATGAAACAGATTAAAGACCTGAAATTGGAATGGACAGAGTGGTGCATAGCCCAGGACTCTGTGTTTTTAACACCATCATAATGCTTCTGGAACCCGGCGTGCCACTGGGGTATCATTGCATTGAGAGGAAATCATTGACATTGGCTGATAGCAGGGGCAAGAAAAGCATACTGTTGAATTTGGGCATAATGAGTTGCTGGAAATATAAAGACACAGAGTATCAGTTAAGTAAACGAAGCAAGTCATTCAGGGCCTTAAAAATAAATACAGAGGTTTGAAAAGTCATTGCAAAAGCTGACAGAAATTAACATAGCCATTTTAGAACTGAACAGATACATTGAAACATTCAGAATAAAGATGGGTCTGTTGCATTTCTGTTGAGCTCTATCCTCAGTGTGGTCCAAACAAAAGCTCTTAAAAACGAAGAGTGACTAAAAAAAGCTGTGCCATTTATCAGGATTTCCTGTTGTGTTCTGCTGAGGAATGATCAATAGCATAGCCAGGTTAAACAGCAACAGAGGTGTAAATGGAAGACTCCAGTGGAAAAAGTGTTTCATTGATGGATGCACCAAGCCCTTTAATTAACCATACCCTTTTTTCCGTTTGTCAGAAAGAGAAGTTAAAGCAACAGAAGGAATATGCAAAGCAAATTAAGGAACACAATATGAAAAACATGACTTCGGTTCAGAGGTTCCCTACAAAACCCCAGGTCATATCGTCAGTGTCAAGACAGAAGGTAAGAGCAGAGTCCAGGGAGAGATTCTGGACTTCACACAAAGAAAAAGGAAAGCATAAATTTAACTTAAGTAGGCTAAAATAGTTTTTACATTTTGATTTTCCCTTTAATAACTCCGAGGATTTCTACTCTCAGGGGCAAGTGCTCATCTGTGCATCTGTTCTGTTTTGGCTGTAGATGTGTGCCAGGAGTTGCTGATTTCTTTGCCAACAGCAGCCTTCACTCCTGCCTTGCTCTTCCTAAGAGTGTACCAAGCGGAAAGGGAGCAGTGCTCCATCCAAGCTACCAACACTCAACTTGGCTTAACCAGCTCATGATGTTTTCCTGGGGAAAGGGTGGGAATAAAGGAGAGTGAGACCTCCTTAGGAACATACCCAGTGCAGCGTATGTTCTGCTTCACATCAGTGACAGAGGCCACACTACTGCAGAGTGTGCCCTTCTAATGCACCACAGATATCCTCTTGTTAGTCAATTATCCACCTGCCTGTCAGTCTCACTTACAAACTCTTTTCACTTCAGTTGCATAGCTACAGTAATTGGTCTTATTTTTCAAGCCCATACAACATCACTTTAGCCTTCACTGGCCTTCAAAAATTGCCCAAATGAGCAATGACTGACTACATGACAGTGGCATACATAAACAAACAAAGGAAGCACCTTTTCCCTATCCCAGGAGATAATAAAGCTCTGGAAATAGCATAGATTTTATGCCATCAGTTCTGCAGGAGCTCACCTGCCTGGGACTGAAAGCACACTAACAGGTGTTTCTCCAAGATGATGAATGAGAAATGAATGCTTCAGGAAAAAAAAAAAAGTTTTGGGGTTTAATACAATTGAATCCCTCAGTTACTTGCATTTCTTTCCAAACCTCACACAAACAACAAAGAGATGAAACTGCATTCTTTGGATGTCAAAAGGGTTTTGGATTCCTTGAGAAGACTTCTCAGACAGTCTTTCACCAAGAATGTGAAATAATGCAACTTCCACTTGAGCCCTAACAGGTGTTTCCAGATACACGCGACTGAAACACAGACACCAATTAATGTCCCAGGTTAAACCAGGGCTCTCTCAGTTTCAGGGTTTCTGTAATGCTGTTTCCATCCCCTCTGCAAGGCAGCCTCACAGGTTCCACACATCATTCCAGAATATTTGACACTCTTACAGATATCTGCTTTGCATTCCTCCTTCAGCATGGCCCTGCTCAGCTTCAGTGAGACATGTCAAGTCTAGAACAACACCTTGAGTAGTCATATTTATTTTGATAGTTAAGCCTATTGTGCAGTAGAACCTAAGCCCAGTTAATCAGAACTTACCTGCTTCTCACATTCACACATGCTGGTTTATCTACATACTGCTACAGAAAAACATACTTGGAGAAGGACACACTCAGCCAGTGTGGGAAGTACAATTCTTCAAGATATGCTGTCCCTGAGAGTACCCCATTACTGCCCACCTTTCCCTCTGCTTAACAGTATATTTATTCAGCATAGACACATTCAGAGTGTCTGAAGTTGAAAGGAATCAGAATGGTGATTTATTTCATACTATTCTCAGTAGAGTACGTGTGGGTGCTGTGCAGACTGGGTTTTACTGGTAATTTCCAGTCACAATAGAATATGCATGGTTATAAAAGAACTCTGGGATCTCCAGGAGAGGCTGTTCTTTGTTTTACTCTGAAACAGTGAAAGGTTGGCACATCTAATACCATCCTCACTTGTTCAGGATTCTTGTCTTCTTCAGAACTGTGCTAGCTTTGAAATTACCTGGAAAGGAATTTGGTGAGGAATTATATTAAATCAGGTTCCAGAAAATTTAAAACTATTGCCTAGACTTCATTTTGAAACTTGTTAGAACATTTTAGACCATTCAGTACATCAATTTGTTAGAATCCATCATAGGAGCACTCGGTTTCCATCCTTGTCATATTAATCTGCAGAAGTGCCTGCTATAAGGTATGACTGAGGACAAGAGCTTAATGAGGCTGAAAAGAAAAAAAAAATGTTTATAAACTTAATATACTTGTGTTGCTTTTCCTTTTTTAAAGAGAAAACACAACACTGCTTCAGTATTTAAGGTGGCCTCCAGTGGTAAGTGTCAGAAAGGAAATCTGCTTGAGGTGGGTTATTTTACCCACAGCAAAGGTTCCTTGCAGTCGTCACTGAAGCGTCTAGTATTTAACACTGCCAGATGAGGAATTAGGAGAACTATTAATTTGACTCAACACAGAAAGACCTACATTTTCTTGGAAGCATTGGTCAGGTTTTCTCTTAATCGGTTCCCCCAATTTTCATGTTTTTAGGCTCTGGAATATGCTAAGAAGATTCCTAAACCAAAGACTTTCACGGCAAGACAATCGGGTGACAAGGCGAAAGAGGAAAGAGTTCTGCCTCAGACTTTAAATGGAGACAGTTTACCTCAAATTGCATCCTTGGAAACTTTGCAAAATCGACACGAGAAGGAGAAACAAGTTGTAGCTGCTTTCAGAACTCTTCATATCTTATAATTATTTGGAAGTTATTAGGGATATCTTCAAGGCAAAAACATCTGAGCTGTTTAATTATGAGCTATGACCATCACATACTGATTTACCATTCCATTGAAATGGAAAGTGGCTTAAGTTCAATCATTGTTAAATTTTAGAATCACTTCTACTATACTATACTTCTACTATTTTTAAAATGTAAACAGTTGCATTTTGATGTGGTCACCACTTGTTTTTCTTTGAAATCAACTGATGGAGCAGTTGCATCTTTTGGGCTAATCAGCTGTTGGCTTGTCACAGCTGGATTTTTTATAGACATGTCATATCAAAACAATAAAAATAAAACATCAGTTTCATTTTATGATCTCAATACCAACAAGGTTTCTCTTTTTGAAGTGCAGAGGAGACTTTGGCAGACAATCCAGAAATAAAGCCAAAAATTAATCCATTGCTGGGAAGAAAGTGAACAAAAACAGAGCAGTTGGTAATGATACAATACTAATTATTCAGATGTTACTCTGTTATCTGTTAGTGAATAGTTGTCAGATCAAGACCTGAATTTTGAAGCTTCATCTGGGACAAGAAAATTCAAAACAAGTACTGGCTGATCATGCAGACAATCTGTTATTAGCCAGAAGCAGTTGGAAAATATATTGGGTAACTAAGGATAATTGAGAGCTACATATTTGAGAGGAAACAGCTTTTAACAGATTAAATCTATAAAAACGACAACAAGCAGATGGGTTTCTTACAATGGTTCTGTTTCTTTAACTTAGTAAATTATGAATTAAGTCAACATATGAAATGTGATTAGAACACACAGCAAGGGAATTTTGAAAAAAACACACTAAAATCTCTTAGAAAATAGGTTAGTTAAAAGAAAAAAAAAACAACCAACAACCTTGTGATTATGTATAATTGCTTTATCCAATTTATTACATCCCCTTTTGTATGGGAGGAGAGAGAAAATTAGTCTTTGGGCCAAAGAAAAGGGTTCAAGTCTCTCCTTGAAGGAGGTTAACAATGGAAAGGAAAGGTGGAGAATAGAAGAGTGACTATCTTTGAAAGGGCTTGCTCTTTTTCTAGATGCACCTTTTGTTAAAGGTGAAGATAGAACTATGTAAGACTTAACACATTTCTGGGTTAACATTTCCTTGGCTGGATGTCTCACAGGAAAGATAATTTTTTGACAGTGAAGTCAAGGCATTGGAGGTGTGAGATACCTAGTCCGATGACTTCCATTTCATAGAGGCCTGGGTGAGTTTCACCTAGATCCTGCAGTCCTCAGGATGCTTCAGTCCTCCTGAAAGTTGCTTGACGCCGAAATATACCCTGCAGGGTATATTCCCAACCTAATATGGGAAGAATTGACCACCATACTGCATCTCTCCATCACAGAAAAAGGACATGTTCCTTTCTTTAAAGACCTCCTGACCCACCTGAGGGACAGGAGACCCTCCACCCTGTCGCTTCCTTCCCACCACACTGCCTTTGGCCCCTCTTTGTAGAAGGTACGTACCTGTGATATGATCCATCAGACTAGGCTGGGTAAACGTTTCCATGCTCTGCCAGTTGCAGCTTTTCTACTTTTATTTTTAAACCAAATGGTAACACTTTGAAGCATTTCTGATTAGGGAACCTCAACTTGTTGTTTCTGCTTAAAAGTGATAATCCCCCCTTAATAGAAACCTCAAGTACCTATTTTAATGAAACCTTCAGATGAATATCAAAGAGCTATTTACTCGTATCTAATATTTTAATTAGATTATATTCTCAATTTAACCCATTAAACCCCCTTTGATGATCTCCATGTTTAGTGTTTAGCCCCAGATGCTGGAGGTAATGAATATTGGACCTTTGATTTAATGAGAACTTCTGCCTTTCCAGCCTGACTCCCTTTGTATCCCCCTTTTTTATTTTCTGAGCTATAGAATTCAGTTAATTGAAGAAGTCTCTTACCACCACACATTAAGGAACCTAAATTAGCATCCCTTTTCTGATTAGAAAATGCAAGCAGACATTTTCTCTTTGATCTGAGGATTGAGTTGAAGTAGGCAACAGCCCCCTGAAAATGAGCTGATGGCCTTATTATTTGGCTGACATGCAGATGCGTCCATGTGGTGCAAAATGCTTAATGTCTTAATTGATCACCTTCCTCCCTATCTGTCATCCGGATACCTTTTAGAGCTCCCATAAATTAGGGTGATCTTTCTGGGTGGGTGGCGTGTTTCGTTTGGTTGGGGTTTTTAATTAAACAATGAACTTTTAGGAAATATTTAAATACTAAATCCATGCTAAACTGAAAGCCATGAGACTGCATCTAGGGGGGGTGGATGGATTTTTTTAAAAAACACTGATCAAGACCATCTCACAAACCATTTGGAACTGACTGTATTGGGGTTTTTTTTCTCCCAGAAAAAGACATTATTTGCCGCGTATGTGGAAAGAAAATCTTTTGATCTGCCTCAATACTAATGCAAATTTTTCCTGCACCTAACGGATATGGTGGCACAAAAAGGGACCATACAAGTAAATGATGAGCATCCATCTGCTTAAAAGCAAAGGCCAAAACTTAATGCCTTTCAAATTAGGAAGGCAAGAAATTTAAATACGAAACGGGCCTTGAATTTTGCATTAAGTATTCAGGGAGAAATGGAGCTGGAGTGGAACCTGCCTGCCATGGTGCTGTGGCTCCAGCACAGCTATCACAGAGCACAGTGTCACCCACCCTGAGCACAGGTTGCCTTCATCAGGGCAGGAATGTGGCTGTGTGCACCACCCAACAGAACTTCTCAACCTTTCCTTGGTGGGCCCTTTCTGGTGCCTGCTTTTCTTAATATTTTCAGGAAGTGCAGAAGCTGATACCACCTTCAGTGGGAAAATATCTGGGGGCAGTTCTACCCGGGAGCAATGCTGCTGCAGTAACATCACCATCACGTTCCTCTCAAAGATGTCTGACGTCAGCTTCCCCACCACCATCGCACACAAGGTATGAACAAGCTGGCTGCTGACTCTGGAAAAAACACACTGCTTTATCAGTTAAAAACATTAAATAAGGCAGAGCCTAAAAGCCCTATACCATCTGGAGCACTGTCTCCAGTTCTGGGCTCCCCAGTTGCAGAAGTACAGGGAATTTCTGGAAAGGGGACAGCAGAGGCTACAAAGATGATGAGGGGCCTGGAGCATCTCTCTTACGAGGAGAGGCTGAGGGACTTGGGTCTGTTTAGTCTGGAGAAGAGAAGGCTGAGGGGGGATCTGATCAATGCCTATAAATACTTAAAGGGTGGGTGTCAGGAGGATGGGGCTGGTCTTTTTTCAGTGGTGCCCAGGGACAGGACAAGAGGAAATGGACACAAACTTGAATATAAGAAGTTCCACCTAAACGTGAGGAGGAACTTCTTTATTTTGAGGGTGGCAGAGCCCTGGCAGAGGCTGCCCAGAGAGGTGGTGGAGTCTCCTTCTCTGAAGACATTTGAACCCACCTGGACACGTTCCTGGGCAACCTCCTCTGGGTGGACCTGCTTTGGCAGGGGGTTGGACTAGTTGATCTCCAGAGGTCCCTTCCAACCCCATAGCATTCTGTGATTCATCATTAGGTCTCTAAAGACAAGCTGTCAGAGATGAGGACTGTAGACCAGATGAGGTTATGTCTAACTCCTGCAGTCAATGAATACCTCAAATAGGCATGAACAAGCCACAGTGGCCAAGCAGCCCACAAGCCAAGCGTTTGATCATTGTCATCTCCCGTTAGGGATCACTTCTACAGTAAATTCTAACAGCACAAAGAATATGCCTCTTTTTTTATTATTGTATTTTTTATGTTGCATCTCTGTGTGAGAATAAGCCAGTGTGGGAAGAAAGGACCAACTCTGGTGACCACCTCCGTGGTGTGAGATGCACAAAACCACAGTGACAGGTGAAGGGAGTGGATCCCCACTGGTGACAGCTGAGTGAGTTAAAGCTCTTCTGCCGGACAGAAGAGCCTGCTTTGAACAGGAGTGATACTGAGCCAAAAACCTGGATAGAGCAGATGCTGAAGAAGCATCCAGCAGCTCAGCGAGAGCTTTGCATAATCGTGAGCGCAGAGGGGGCAGCTGCAGGTAATACCACAGGGGTAGTGTCCTGTGTGTCACGGGAGCACTTATGGGTTTGTCCCAGCAAAGCCAACAAGACACACAACACCAGAGAAAATATTCTACTTTAGGAAAGCAAGTTGAGTGGTCTCAGCTGTAGCTGAGCAGAGGGAGTCACAGAATTCTGTCAGCTTGGCGTTGCCCCCAGCATTTCAGAAACCTGGTACTTTACAGGTTAATTACCTCCTTATCCTGAGTTAAAACCAGCTTCCTCCTGGAAAGACTGTCCACACCCTGAGAGGTAGGAAAGGCACTGTGGTTGATTGAGGGATCACCCTTTCTGCTCTCAAGCATAGGCTTTACACCCGCCCACCTCTATCACCCAGTGCAACCTATTGCTCCTGCTGCCTGAACACAGGCTCCATCAGTAGCTGCAGACACCCCAAGGTGCTTCCAGCAATGCAGCTACAAGTGTTTCACCTAAGCTCATTATGCTGTGGAAACCTGATAAACCTGAGACAGAAATAAGCCACTTTTTAGGCTGAGTGAGACCTCCCGAGCAGGAATTTGCAGTTAATTAAGGTGATGCTGTTCGTTATTGTGACTAGAAGACGTGGAGAACTAAGTCATCCATTTAGGAGGCTACAACACCCAGGAGTTTGCAGCGCCGTGTGCCCAAACCATGACCCACTGCAGTCAGGACCCCATCGACTTTCACCTCCTCCTCCTCCTCTGCTCCTCAGCCTGCAGAAACATCACGTTGGAAAACCCAAGGGAAGAAACACACTCAGTCCATCAGGCAGCAGAGAGAAACGACGAGAGGAAGCCATCGAGAGAATTTTACGTGGTGCACGCAATGCCTGGGTCTGGCTGAAGGTTATTTACACCTTCACCAAGCCACAGCCCACAGTACTGTCAGGACTGACACTAGATGTTTCTTTAAAAGCA